ACACTAGCTAATAATGATGGAGTAGTAGTATTAAGGAGATGCGTATCCAATTTCTTTGGCATTGGTCGTCTGATAAAGTAAGCTCAGATAAAGCATCATCTCTATATGGTTCTAAATGCTTGTAGAGAGGCTGGACGTTGCATGCATGCAGCCTTTCATACTACAGTCCTCCCAATCCAGTGACAGGAGAGGGGCGGGACGCTGCATATATACAGGTAAATTATACTTTATCCCCCTATAGTTTAATATTTTTTATACATAATCTTCTCATAATTTTAAAAATTATATATAATCTGTTCATGGTTTGAATTAAAGTATCAAAGTAACGAAATTTGCAATCTATGACGGAGTCAATTAAAATATAAAAAATGCCCCTCTATAAAGTTGAAAATTATTTATTGACTACAAGCAAGTTATGTATATATAGTGAAAACAATAAGGGAGTTATATAGTAAAACATTAAATCATAAAAGGGTTATATGGTAATATGTAAAATTATACGGGTTAGAGTGTCATGCATGTTATGTTTATATATGTTGATCACTTCAACCATTTGAATTTTTAAACAAGGGTAATTTCGACATTTTCATAGGTTCTTTTACAAATGATCATTTCCATCATTTTGACACTTTAATTCAAATTATGAGAGGGTTATATTTAATTTTTAAAACTATAGGAGAGTTATGTATAAAAATACTAAATCATAGGAGATAAACTGTAATTTGCCTTTTATTCCTTTGTTTTACATTAATTTCCATCTGTTCTCATATTCTTGTTTTCTTCCGCTTTCTTCTTAACTAAACATAAGAAATTCGTTAATTGCATATTGGATTACTATTTTACATAGCGGGTATCAACTCCAGCGCGAGATGCCGGACTCGTCCCCAAATGCAAAATATTCCCTTTGTGTCATTAAAGTTCACAAACATAATCGACACATCATCATCGAAAACAAAGTCTAAACAGGCCGCCTTATTTATGAAACTTTTATGCATCTTCAATTAACTTTATACCTAGCCAAATTCAACAATAAATTACTATAATTTGAATAATAGCTTGAATTTATGAATAAAAATCAATTAAAAAAGAGCAAAAAAATTTTCGCAATTACCATTATTGAATAACACGACCTTAGATATTAATGGATGACAGGTGTCGAGCCTGTGCAATAAAAACTTACTTAACAAAAGTATGAATTTTGTATACAACGGTGAGCAGGATCGAATCCATAGGGATTGGGGATTATTTGCTCTTTTTTCAAGTCAAAGAGGAGGGGGTTTTTATTGTCAAGAATTAAAAACTAGTGGAATATCACTAAGGTAATAAAGTACGCAAAAGAGATTGGGGGAGACAATTAATGGGAAAAAGCTCTAGCCAAGGTTTTACTTCAGAGGTGGTTCAGGTACTAATCATTGATGCAATTATAATCCCAACATTCATTAGTAAACAGGTTTTTAACTGCTGATACGATCTGACAATCAGTTTCTCCTTTCTGTTTCGATAGTCAAGGTACGATCATTGACTATTTCTCTAATTTAGGAATAACCCTAGGTGCCACCGTAGGATTTAATTCCTCAATTGTATTAGAAACTAGAGAAATCCTACTCTAATCAATAAACACGCTACGAGAGTTTATTTAAATTAGACTGTATGTTTTTTCCGACACAAACCCAATTATTCCAGTTTCTATCAAGACTAGAGCAGTCTAACAATTACGGATTTGACTATTCCAATTAGCAAATAGATAACGTGTATAATTAAATATTGCGCACCTATTTAATCACACACAATAATCATACTTTATAAAGCAGAAAACTTACAAATACCAATGAATAGAGGAGATAAATAAAATCAATTATATCTCACAGTGATAGTTGAACCAAATCCTCAGTGTTCCTTGACTAGAGATACGAGATTAGTTCTCCATTAAGGGAGAACAAGCCATGCCAAAAGATAATCTGTTCGAAGCTTACAATTGTTTTTTTTTTCTCCAATTTGGCCAAAAAGAAAAAAGAAGAACAACTATGTTTTTCTCAAGCAAAAAGCATTCCCCCTCCGAATTATCCCTAGTCGACTTCTTAATTGATTGGTCTCCTCATGCCAATAAAACTCCTAAAAAGGGTTCCTATTACAAATCAATGTCCTAAGAGCTTTCCAATTGCTCGAGATTGACGTGGACTGCAAAGAAATAGGAAACTTCAGCAGCTGCCAAATTTTTTAATTTGACTTGGATTGGGAAACTGTTTGACGTCCCTGCTCAATTTTCTGGCTTTGAACCTTGAACTTAGGCGTGCCCATGTGCAAACTGTTAGGAATCCTCCATTTAAGCGTTTTTCGCTCAAATTTCTGAAATCAATGCAAAAAAACCAATTGTGGGTAAAACCAGTCAAATAGGGTGATATCTGGTATAAATAAAAAGAAAAATATAAGCAATTGTACCAACTAAAAGTACCCTATCAATGGATAACAAGAATTTCACTGTCCCTCTAACAAGGATTTTCAAAGCATTCCTAGAACTAATGGCCTGTTTGGGAAACGAATTTTGTCTAAGTTTGTTTCCTACCAAATTTTTAATAACTTTAACTATAGTAATTTCAAAAACTCCTTAAAATATTTAAACTATATACTTCAAAATATCCAAAACACACAAAAAAAATTTTCTTCCTCATTTCTCCTTCCACCGCAATCGGAGCCGCAGGCCACCTCTTTTGTTTTTTTTTTCTCTCTCTCTCTTCTTCCTCTCTCTCTCCTCTCCCTCTCTCCTCCCCTCTTCCACGCCACCTCTCTCCCCCCTTCTCCCTCCCCCACCATCCTTCCCATACCTCTTTGCCCGATTTGGTCGCACGACTAGAAAGCACCTGGAAAAGGGGAGAAAGGGGACGGGAGAGAGAAGAGAGCAAAAAAAAAAATTTCTTGTTCCAACTGGAAGGGAGAGGTGGCAAGGGACGGGGAAGGGAGAGGAAGAAGAAAGGAAAGAAAAGAAAAAAGAAAGAAAGAAAGAAAAAGAAAAGAAAAAAGTTTTTCATTTTAAAAATTTTTCCTACAATTTTTACAGTAAGTTACAGTAAAATTTTAGACAAACGCGCAAAAAATTCATTCACCAAATGATGCCTAAGTTTCACTCAAATATTTATTGGGAATTATTTGTTAAACAGGGCCTAAGTAATATCTCATTCTCTTATCAAATTTTACCAAACTTTATTGGAATTGCCCAGTTGTTTAGAGTTTCTCACTTTTTTCACAAATCTTTAATTTGTGATTGGGATGTGTTCATATAACATTCCTCATTGGGAGGATGTTCATGAAACCCCTTCTGCCCTTATATGTTTGTTTAGAAGATCAGGAGGCCTAGGACACATTTTTATTTCATGTCTACCAATTATTGATTGCAAGAATTAGTTTCTAATAGGACCATTTATGGCGATCAATGAGTTAGAAATTTAATTTATGTTCATTAGTTTTTCTCACATGGCTTATGATCACTTGATTTGAATCTTAAAACTACAGGTAATTCAAGATTGAAAATCATGAGTAGGTGAAGTTATTGAAAGGGGTTATATCTTGAAGAAATTTCTAGGCGGTTATGTTATAATATTTCTAGATCCACTGTGATGGCATATACTATGAAGTAAATTCGGGGTGCAACCGAGAATCTGGCAAATCAGAAAATGAGAGCACGGAATTTACTAGTGGAGTTTTAATTGATAGTAGATTACTTTAATGAATAGTAAGACATGATTATCACTTTAGAAATAACCAAAGTTCAAATGAAAATAAGGTTAATTAAGTGGAATTACTTCTTGATGTTTGGATTAATGTTGACGCAAGGGAAACGTAATGGGCATCAGGTGTTTGAAATTTCTATGGCCTCATAAAAAGCATAGCAGATTTGAACATGAAGCAACCCTTCTTTGGTCTAGTGAACCTCTTTGATATACAGGTGAGATCTTCTTTCTCCAGCCCCATTGGTCCAGTTGGATCATTCCCTAATATTGGTTAGAGTAGGAGTAGTAATATGAGTTAACGATTGACCAAAAAGGCGAGGAGGGGAAGGAGGGGTGGGGGGGACATGAATTGTCCTTGAGTAAATAATGTCCATGCTCTATGTAAAGGTGGAGAAAGCTTTTGTTGTAAATATATAAAGGGGGAGAGGGCTTTTGGTATAAATAAAATTTTGTCATTTTATATTATTTTTTAACTTACCTTGCTAGCTACCCAATGTAATCAACTATCGATTATGGTTATGGATTACTGCTAAACAACTATCTATTTGTACACTTATTTTCGTGAATTTTCCAATACCCATTGTCAAAAATATAAAACCAATTCCTTTGAAATGATTTCAAAAAATTTACTCAAAATTTTAATAATATGTTTTTTATTAGGTGTACACACATTGGTGTGTGCCCTAAATACTAGTAGTTTAATTAATATTTGTTCATGTAAAGTGATATAATTGAAAGTGCAGTTTGTTTTTATGCTAATCTGGTCAAATTAAGTTTCGAGAGTGAAACTTAGGTGGGTAGAATTAATGTAACACCTGAAAATCAGTAGTTGGTAATTCATAAGAGTTGTTGGCAGAAAAGCTAGAATGTATATCAATTAGAAATTAAACAACTAAATCAATTATTAGCATAAACAAGTATAGAATTCTTCTAAAGTGTTTAAATCTGTTGACACAAAAATTCGATCAGTAAGCAAGATAAACAACCTATAAATTGCTCGATATAGAATATTTAATGCATTCCAATGTGAACAGAAAAATAATTATAACTTATTGAGCTTCTTAGTCTTGGGGAAAAAAAAAAAGAACAGAAAACTATTAAGCTATCATTTTCTTATTGAATAAGAATCGGTCAAGTTGGGACGCATAAAACAAATCTTTAGAAACGTTTGGAGAACAAATTACAAATTACCATAGTTCTGTAAATTCTCAAGGAGAGTATGCTGCTGCTGCGTGATATGAAAAACAAAATAAATGTGCTTTTACAGGGCATTACTCAATGGAAATTCCTCCTCAGCTGATTGGCCTTCAATGCAATCATTACGCAGATTTTGTCATAGGCATTTTCCAGAAACCTGAAGTATGCATAGCGCCATGACTTCTTGAACTGAAGGATTCCCAAAACTCCCAATAGCCCGACAGCATAATCCGGTCCTATACCAGCATAAAACCAAGACCAATGAGACTCGCCGTGGCCTATATCATCATGAATATGCCCATTTTTCGTAGGCAATTTATGTTCCAGGCAGTCATTTGGGAGTGGCTCGCCACAGAGTCCACTGTTTCCTTCATAGATAGATGGATCGATTAAGGTCTGAATTTGATTCCCGACAAATTCAGGAAGTTCAACCAGTTTAAAGCAGATAAGCTTTCAGGGATTGCACCAAAGAGTTCATTCATTGATAGATCAAGTGACTCAAGTTGCTTCAAGTTGCCAATCTTCTCGGGGATTCTTCCAGTGAAATGATTACGTGAAAGGTTCAAGGTTAGCAAATCAACCAGATCCATTATCCCATCAGGGATCTCACCCACTAAATTATTTGTTGAGAGGCTTATGGATTTAATGCGCAAAAGGTTCCGAGAGGAGTACCCAAGTTCTCCTCCTCCCTTGAAGTTTTGAAGCCAGGTGAAATCGCTAAATACCCAGAGATCAGTTCCTGGTTCACTTGATACCATCATTGAGAAGTTGATAAAAGAATGAGGAATAGATCCTGTTAAATTATTATGCGCTAGGTTCAGCACCTGAAGACTTGAGAGTAGGCAGAGCTCATCAGAAATGACTCCATGGAAGTTATTTGACTGAAATCTTAGAAACTTTAATTTTGATAACCTTTCCCCAATCCATGTTGGTATAATATCTGTGAGTCCATTGTCACCGAGATCAAGAATTTGTAAATTTCTCAGGCTCCGCATTGAGGATGGGAGCTTCCCAACGAATTTATTTCGACTCAAATGCAGAATCCAAAGTTGCCCCAAGTTGCCCAGTGAACTTGGAATTTGACCGCATAGACTGTTATTAGCCAAGTTTAGGACCCACAAGTCTGGCAAATTTCCCAAACACAGAGGAACTCTTCCGGATAGGAAATTGTTGGATAGATCCAGATATTCTAAATTTTCCAACTTGCACAAGTCTTCCGGGATACTACTTGTGAAATGATTATCACTGAGTGTGAGAAAACGAGTAGATGCAACAGTTTGACCAAATAATTAAGACTGCTTACATTGCAAAGTGACCCCAACGTTGATGCATCAAAGCGGTTTACTGCTAGATCAAGATCAACTAGAGAGGTCATTTGTTCAAAAAGGCCATGAATTGGACTAGAAAGATTATTAGAGCTAAGATCAAGATCATGGACACCAGTAAGATTATGGAGCCAAGGAGGGACCATGTAGTTGTTGAAACTATTTTCACCGAGTTTAATGGAAGAAAGAGATGTGAAATTGACCTGTGAAAGATAAGGATCGATGAAAAGTTCAAAACCAGATAATTTGAGCCTTGCTAGTGAAGGAAGCATGTTAATTGCTTTTAACCCATCTTCAACGGCACTGAGATTCACCCCGAACAGAACTAGGCCTTCTAGAGAAAAGAGTCCAACAATCCACCTGAGATCCTTCGTCGTCAATTGATTTGGTGTTAAGGATACACCTCCAAGTTGTAAATGCCGTAAACATGAGAGATTTCCTAGATGGCCGGGAATTTCACCATCAAACACTGCATTTGCGAGATTTAAGTATCTCAGGTTTTTCAACAATCAAAGGAATGTGGGAACTTGGATTCCTGAAAAATTATTCCAGCTTCAATTCAGGTGTTGCAAATTGGTTAAATTGACCAAAAATGGACTTAATTGGCCTCCCAAGCAATTTTTGTAGTAAATAAATATATCATTTGAATGTAACGGACTAGCATTGTATAGATCAAGTTTCACCAGATGGTCAGTGGTTTGATAGCAATCAATGCCTTCCCATGAACAGTAGTTCTTTCCTATCCAAGATAACAGACGATTTGATTCATCTATCAACCCATCTCTGAATTGAAGAAGAGCTTGTCGTTCACTCTCAATACATGAGACATTTGAATAATTATAAGTTTGTTTGCTGCAGCCAAATGAGAAGTGAGAACTGGCTGGTGACAAGAATAGAACTGAATAACAACAGTATTAGTAAAGATGAACGAGTACAATGAAGATGATGCTCCATTGGATTTCTTTTGGAATTCGTTTATTTGACAAAGTATGGTTAGATAAGCGGTTTCATTTATACGCGTTTAAAAGTCTCATTTCACCATTTTGCATTTGAAGAAACTACATGAAAGTGATAAAATGCCGACGACCGGAAGTCTTCAAGGAAAAGTCGAGCCAGTAAAGATTTAAGTGTTTAACTGACTACGACATAGGAAAAGCAATCTACTTAAGATGCAAAATTAACAATATTCTTCTACTTTTCTTGTCTTCGACTCTTTTAATGGCTATGGATCATGGAGTTGGCGAGGCATTTGCATTTTAGTCTACCCCATTCCGACGGTTTAATGACTTGTTATTCCGGTGCATTATTTGATTAGGACCCATAAACGATCCAAAAAAGATTGGATTGGAAATATAATCACGGATATGAATTGGAAAGAATAGCTAATGGGATTCTGAAGGCTAGCATGAAATCAATAATTTGAGGTGAGTAGCTTTCATTTTACAAGTTAATTCTGGTTTATGTTTGCATTCGCTTAATAGTTTCCGATTTGTGATCGAACGTGTAGCAAAATACACTATCTTGGGAGAAAAAATGATAAAGGGTTATTGGAAGACAGGAAAATTTGTTTTTCTAGCGTGGTGGTTAGATAGGCAAGCTAATAATATCTTGACTTAAGCTGATAATATCTTGATTCTGGTCATTTAATCTGCCGATCTAGATTAAGATGACACAACATTTAGACGAGAAGACTAGTATATAAACTTGCTTAAGATGTGCAAAAAACTTGACAACGTGTTGTGTACGACAACTGCAAGTCCACTATGACGGCATATTAAATCAAGGCTCAAAAATATATTTAGTAGTTATTTGTATTAGGGTTTTAGTAATTCTATTTGACTTAAGTTATAGTAGTCTCATTGTTTAAGAATTAGTATTTTATTAGAAAATTTCTTGTGATTGTAAGAGTTGTTTATCAAATCACCTAATCTAGTCTTGTTATTATTACTATCAGTTGAGAAGAATGAAATTTGAGAACCATGTTATTATGTGTAATTAATAATATATTATTGATTTATTCCTCTTCTCCCATGTAATTCTCCCATTAGTTCTATGAAATTTGTCTCGTGTAACTTTCCATTGGAATTTTTTTGGGTCCTACACACTGGACAATGACCCGCCATGGAAAATCAAGATATTCTTGTGGAGACCTATCCTGCGTTCAACTAATGGAAATGTTCATTCCTTAGCAGCAGCTGGTCGTAAAATTGATTTGCTGATTCCCACAACTTCGACCCTCTCGTTTGCAATTTAAATTAGGATTTATCTTTTGCATCCTAATAGTGTATACGTTAACGGAGTTTAATGCATACTACAAATGCAAAATATTTATATTTCGAACTCAAATTCATATAAGTGGTCATGCATCCGACCTTGATGGTATGTATTGTCAGCATATAGAAAAATAAATTAATGTAAAAATATTTGACAGAAAATAAGCAAACCAATTGAAAATTTTACAAATGGAAAAGATGACAGTTATACCTCTTAACTTATGGGGTTACACCATTTTCGCCTTTAAAGTTTTATGAAAATGCTAGTAATGACAGATCATTTAATCTGTAAGGACAAAAACATTTCGCAGGTAGTTCATTTAGTCCTTTAAATTAACCCTTTTTTTTTTCTTAAGCATCTTTAATCTCCAATCTTTTATTTTATTCATGTAGCCCTTTTATTTTTAATTCTTAGGCTTGGATGGTTTAAGGATTGCAGAAAATAATACGCATCAGTAAAATTTTTATATTTAATATAAATGCTAGATTTTCTGTTTAGTGGTTTATATTGTTAATTCCCCTCATCAGTCTAGCAAGCAAATGGCTTAACTATTTAATTGACAACGATATAGCAAATGGTATCTGCTTAAGATGAAAAAACCAAAAGAGTATCTGCTTAAGATGTAAGACATTAGGGGTAAGTTATGATTAAACAAAGCTTAAGGGGCTAATTAACGATATTGCTGATCTTAACTTCAACTGGAATGGATTGAGGGATTGGTGAGGCATTTTCGTTCCAATCAAGTCCATAGTGGTAAGTGCCGATTGACTTGTGATATCCCCGGGCATTATTTGATTGAGGCCCACAAATGATCCAAAATTGAGGATGCGCATTTAGCTTTACTAGATCAGCTTTATATTGATATTCAATGATTCCAAGAGAAGCAAATTAAGGTAGTGCATACTTTAACCCATCACGCTAAGAGTGCTAATCTTTTTTTAATCTCTTTGAAATTTCCTTCCAAATTTCGTCAAGCAACTCATGGATGATTACCTGTTACATCATTAATAAAATGTGTCTATCTTTTTTTTTTTTATCAAAAAAAGGCACATGCTAAAAAAATAAAAGATTTACATCAGAGTATCTTTTTTTATGAAATCCCAGGCTCTATCAAACCAATCCACGTCCGTACGGCCGCTGTCCAAATAATTCCAAATGATGTACTAATTGCTTACACGTGGTACGTGAAAAGTGGACCACGGGCAGGAACGATTGGTGGTTTTGTGCATTTTGCACGTCACGTAACTTTGCTTACACACAGCGTAATTTTATTTGCACAATGTATAACTTTAAAACAAATTTTTGTGGACATCACACACGTTGTTAAAAATGAGATATAATAAGTGATCTGAATCGTACAACTTTTTTGGACTAAATCTTGATCGGAAACAGCTCAAGAGCGATCCTTCTTATGACCTCTCCAGCCCCTCATCCGTGAAAAGTCTACTGTTAGGCAGAGGTTCTCTGCATCACGCAATTCGCATAATTTGTGGAAATTAGTCACGTAATTTTTGAACAATCAAAAGCTGCCCTTTATATGTAAAGCCAGAAAGAGCTGATCATCTTCAACAACGTATAATTGTACTTAATATTTTTTTATTATTGTGGACAATTTCATGTCTATCTATGTCCATAAACAATAAAATCTTGCATTTGTGATAGGATATCGTAGTATTTTTAAATAATATTTTTTTTGACCTTATAAACATATTTTTCAATTTATCTTTTTATATTTTTAACCATCTTTTTATCTCGTATATATTACACTACAAAAGGTGCTATAGTAATTATTTCAAATAATACTTTATCCAAACAAACCCAATATTGTTATAGCAATATTATTAAGTAAATTTAACAGGTAAAATAGAAATATGAAACTAATATGGTTAAGTAAATTTTATTGTTAAGTAAATTTAATCTCATAAAATGAGAAAAAATGTAAATCTAATATTTCTATAACGTAAATGAATAAATTTTATATACACTGTCAGTCAGCGTTTATATTATCGCTTTTAGATATATGACACATGAGTAAAAAAAATTTTCCAAAATTTTTACTCATGTGTCATATGTCTGCTAGTGATAGTATATATGTAAGATTAATCCAAAGTAAATTTAATATTGTTAAGTAAATTTACTCAGCTTAAATCTTTACCAATTGCCACCTACACTCCACCGCCTTCCTACTAGCCTAAACCCACAACCTTGCGGTGGACCCATTACCAACAATCTTTTGCTATTGCCGAGACTCATTTTATTGCTTACTGTCAGGCAGCACAATTTCTGTTTTCAGGTGTAATAAGGGCTAAACTGGGCATTAGCTAGTTTAGTCAATGATTAGTGTAAACGATGTCGTTTAGGGTCTATTAGGCACCACAAACGGTGCCGTTCCATTTAATCAGTCAGTTAGGTAGCTGAGTCAGTTGTTAGTTAGTGTCAGGTTGTTAGAGTTGGTTATAAAAGTGGGGCCGCATGTAAGAGAAAGGGATACAGAATGCTATTGATTTCTGATTCCTTCAGTCTTTTCTCTCATCCCTTCCTCATTCTCTCGTTCTCTCTCTTCCTTCCTTTCTTCCCCAATTTCCTAAATCTCCCTAATCAATTGACTCTGAATTTCCAAAATTCCAGAATCATCCTTGAGGTCGTGACAAAGTAGTATCAGAGCAGCGATCCTTGGATTCTGTACCACAGATAATGGCGGAAAGCACCAGATTCCACACCATCGAAGAGCAGATGAGGAAGCAAGAAGCTAAGCTCCAGGAGCTTGCGGAGTCCCTGCAGGCGTCCAAATCTGAACACCAGCAAGTCAAGAAGGACTTGAAGACGGAGCTGGAAGAAAACAACAGGCGCATGGAGAACTTGTTATCCGGAATGGAGCAGAATTTCCACCAGACTCTTGAGCAAAAATTCAGTGAACTGTTACTGAAGATGACGCCTGGGAAGGAGAAGGTGACCGAAGGAGGTAGCCGGATGATAGATCAGGTGCCGCTCCTACCAACTCCACCAGCTCATCAGAGGTTATCAATGGATTGCGAGGCTCACAGGACTTTCAGGAAGGATTGGGGTAAGTTCCAGCTTCCAAATCCTCCTAAGATTGATCTATACATGTTTACTGGAGAAAATCCTAGAGATTGGTTGCGCAAATGTAACAAATACTTTCTGAACTATCAAGTTCCTGATGAGCACAAAGTAGATGTAATTGAGATGTATTTAGAAGGTAAGGCTGACCGTTGGTTCCAAGGAGTTAAAATGGAGAGGCCTAAGCTTAATTGGGAAGAATTTGGAGAACTGCTCTGTTGCAGATTTAATGACAGGACTTGTAAAGATGTAGTGGAGGAATTTAATAAACTGCAACAGATAGGGAATGTTGAAGATTATCAGGAGAAGTTTGAGGAGTTGAAGGCCTTAATGATGATGAAAAATCGAAATCTGGATGAGAAATACTTCATTTCTAGTTTCATTAGTGGCTTGAAGGAGGAAATCAAACCTATGATCAAAATGTTAAAACCTCTGACCCTGACTGATGCATTTGAACTAGCTCAGTGGCAAGAATATTCCTTGAAGTTGCAGCATAAGAGTTCTAAAGAGAATGTCAAACCTCTAGGAGAAAACAGACTGGGGTTGACACGGGGCACTACAACAACTCAGGGAGCTAATTCATATAAGGTTCCCTTCTACAACAGCCATAAGTCTGCTAAGTTGGGGAATTGGCAGGAAGGCACTAAGGATACTAGGAGACTTTCTGCACAGGAAATGCAGTTTAGAAGGACGAATGGGCTATGCTTTAAGTGTAGGGACAAGTATGGGGTAGGACATCAGTGTAAGGTAGGCCATACAAACTGCATGATACTGGAAGAGAAGGAGGAAACTACATTTGAAGATGCTCTGGGGAACAGGATGAACAAACTGGAAATCCTGGGCAGACCATGGAATTGTCCTTAAATGCCTTATCTGAGGCACTAAAGAGGAAAACTATCACACTTACAGGGGTCCTGAATGGAGAAGAGGTGTCCATCGTAGTGGACACTGGGAGTTCTGATAGTTTTATCAACAGTGAGCTGGTCATTGGAATGGATCTCAAATATCAGTGGGTGGATCAACCCTTCTCTGTTATCATGGGCAATGGAGATTGTGTCACCAGCAATGCAGTATGCCCAGGTGTGCAATGGAGTATTAATCAACATCACTTCAGGTTTAATCTCAAGGCGATGGAACTAGGAGGATGGGATATCATTCTGGGGGTAGATTGGATGACACACTTCAGCCCCATTACTTTTGACTTCCAACAACTTAGAATATCATTACACCATGAAGGAGGGGAAATTCACCTACATGGACAAGCAGATAATTGTGATTTGGACCTGATCAGAGGCAAAGACTTGAGGACCTTTATTCAATACAAAAGGCAGATGTGCCTGGCCATGAATATACAGCAGAATGAAGGGAGCAGATTAGATACCACACCACTGGAGGTGCATCAATTGCTGCAGGAGTTTGAGGATGTATTCCAAGCACCACAATCACTACCTCCAAGCAGAAGTATAGACCACGAGATAACCCTTAAACCAGATGCCCAACCCTTCAAACTCAAACCTTATAGATACCCTCATTGTCACAAGGAGGAAATAGAGAGACAGGTGACTGAAATGCTGCAGAAGGGCATTGTCAAACACAGCAACAGTCCATTTGCCTCTCCTGTATTGCTGGTCAAGAAGAAGGAAGGCACCTGGAGATTCTGTGTGGACTACAGGAAGCTGAATGAGCTAACTGTCAAGGACAGGTTTCCAATACCCAATGTAGATGAGTTGCTGGATGAATTAGCAGGTTCTGTATTCAAAACCAAATTGGATTTGACTGCAGGTTACCACCAGATCAGGGTCAAACCACAGGATTCTTTCGAAACAGCCTTTCAGACTCATTGTGGTCACTTTGAATTTCTGGTAATGCCTTTTGGCCTTACCAATGCTCTTGCAACCTTCCAGTCGTTGATGAATCAGATATTCCAACCTTATTTGAGAAAATTTGTCCTGGTCTTCTTTGATGATATCTTAGTATACAGCTCCACCTTCGAGGATCACATCCAACATCTGAGACTTGTGCTGAGTCTATTGAGGGATAACCAACTGTTTGTGAAGAAGTCCAAGTGTGCATTTGCTCAGAGGAGGGTAGACTATCTGGGACATACTATTACTGACAAAGGAGTTAGCATGGATGACTCCAAGGTTAGTAGCATCTTGCATTGGGCCGTACCTCAAAATGTCAAAGAGTTAAGGGGGTTCTTGGGGTTAATAGGCTACTACAGGAGGTTTGTAAAACATTATGGCCAAGTGTGCAAGCCCCTGACTGAGCTGCTCAGGAAAGATAATTTCAGGTGGAATGAAAAAGCACAGGCAGCCTTTGAACACTTGAAGGAGTTGATGTGCTCAGCCCCAGTTCTCAGTGGCCTATAGATTGAAGTTGCCAGCAGGTACTAGACTACACCCTGTGTTTCACGTTTCACTGCTAAAGAAAAAACTGGGGTCAATGCAAGGGAGCTCTACCAAGTTACTAGAATTGGACAATCAGGATCAGTGCCCCCTGCAGCCAGAAGCAATACTGAGTAGAAGAGTCATTTTGCGTAATGGGCAGACTATCATTCAGTTTTTGATTAAATGGGAGCAGTTAGAGCCTGAAGAAGCTTCTTGGGAGGATAAATCATTCATTGAAAGCCAGTTTCCTGCGTTCCAAACTTGAGGACAAGTCTGGTTTCAAGGAGAAGGGAATGTCAGGCAGCACAATTTCTGTTTTCAGGTGTAATAAGGGCTAAACTGGGCATTAGCTAGTTTAGTCAATGATTAGTGTAAACGATGTCGTTTAGGGTCTATTAGGCACCACAAACGGTGCCGTTCCATTTAATCAGTCAGTTAGGTAGCTGAGCCAGTTGTTAGTTAGTGTCAGGTTGTTAGAGTTGGTTATAAAAGTGGGGCCGCATGTAAGAGAAAGGGATACAGAATGCTATTGATTTCTGATTCCTTCAGTCTTTTCTCTCATCCCTTCCTCATTCTCTCGTTCTCTCTCTTCCTTCCTTTCTTCCCCAATTTCCTAAATCTCCCTAATCAATTGACTCTGAATTTCCAAAATTCCAGAATCATCCTTGAGGTCGTGACACTTACCAACCATTTTTAAATATATTCAATGCCCACAATGAAAACATACCAAAAATTTTCAAAGGACCCAAAAATACTACACATAAAGATTTTAAAAGAATATTCCCATTATGAAAGTTTTCTAAAACCATTCTAAAAGTAACCCATCAAAATGGAGACACTTTGTGTAACATTTGTGAATTGTCGTTCGTAAACTGTTTGGAATAATTGTTTTTGGGGTATTTTTGAAAAATTTTACTGTAGCAGAATTTTTAGACCATATTTTGGGATATTTTTAGAAAATATTTTGGGATACTTAAGAGTAGAAGAGTTTCTAAAATATATTTTAAATTTTTTTTAAAAAAAATTTAAAAAATTAAACTAATTTTTAGATTACCTTTTAAAATACTTTTAAAAATTTTTATTGTATTTGAAAAACTAGTTTTTGAAAAACACTCCCATCCAAACAGTTGTTAACAAATAATATAATTTTTGTTTAACTACTGGTTGCTTTTTCGGCATACTTGGGGGAAGCTTCTAGTCTTCGTGCTGAGGTTTTGGCCATGTTGAAGGGTGTTCAGGTGTGTCTTGAAAAGGGGCTTCTCCCCACAGTAGTGCAATCGGATTCAATGTTGTTAGTTGACATACTCCAGCGGCGATGCCTTTGTCCTTGGTCCGTTAGAAGGGAGGTGGAGCAAATCTGGCACCTGGTAGAGGGGACTCGGTTTGAGCATTGCTACAGAAAGGCAAATAAGGTTGCTGATATACTAGCGAATGTGGGGGTATCTCATCCGCAAGAGCTGGTCAGGGTTTACTGTACTGAGCGCACTCTTCCCTCGGTGGCTCGGGGAGAGTGCAGGATGAATAGACTTGGGGTGCCATCGGTTAGGCGTGTTAGGATAGGGCGTGCATAGGCTGTAGTAACTGGGGTTTTTCCTGGTGTTCGTTGTCTTCGTGGTCTGGAATGAATAAAGTAATTATTTTAAAAAAAAAACATCCTTATTCTTAATTTTGTTTTTCTAGATTTTTTATAAAAAAAATTATTGTAACGATTTGATATATGTTAAATGAAAAAATGATAAGAAAATGTATTCACGAAAAACGTAATAATTTTTCAAAATTACTGTCCGAATAAGCCTTAGCTTCCTTTAACTTTTCCGACAACCCCTGCCTCATCACCTTCCTACTTCCTTCTTCCCTTGTCCTCATGCTCTACCTTGCAACAACCCCATTCCACGCTACTTTTCCATATCTCTGCAACCCCTGAATGCAAATCGTCCCTTCTGTAGATGCTGCATCTATGGAGCCAAATTTTGTGCATTATTTTCATATTATCCTTTCTAAACTAATTTTCGTAGTTCCCTTCTGTAGGTGCTGCATCTATGGAGCCAAATTTTGTGCATTATTTTCATATTATCCTTTCTAAACTAAATTTTGTAGTTTCAATATGTCTTTAGTTTAAATAAGAACTTTAAGTAGTTGCAAATTATCCTTCTCCATTTCTTTAGTCATAACTAGGACATAATTTTGATTCTAATTGCTCAACAAAAGAATAGGTAAAAATATTATATTTCTTTTTCATTCTCTAACAAAATCTAACAATTCTAATAGCAAGAATAACGTCCGATTATATATAATTCAGGTCCACTTTTAAATCTAGGTCTGGGCCGAAATTTAGAGCTTTTTTTTTATTTTTTTTTATTTTATGTGCAAGTATATTTCTTTTTTTTTTTTATGTTTTGGGTATAATTTGTAAATTTTATTTAGGAAAGCACTACAAAATATATTTGAAATTTTTGTTGTTCTCTTTTTGTATTTTTTTAGTCAATTTTGCTAATTCGCTAAATTGTTCAACTATATGATTTGGAATCTTGTTATATCTTTAGAGGATAGGAACTTAGATTAGTTCTTTTTTTGGGTTTGATTTGTAAATTTTAGTTAGAAAAAGAATACAAAAATGTTGAATATTTTGTAATTCTGTGTTGTGTTTGTTAGTCAATTGTGCTAATTTTGCTAAGCTGTTCAACTTGTATGATTTGGACTATTGTTATTTCTTTGGAGGACAAGAACTTAAATTATTAGTTTATGTTAGTAAAAGATTGTATTTTAATCAATTTTTTATATTGATTATTATGGATATAATTATTTTTCCCTATTAGCCATTCTTCACTGTTGAGCTGGAATGAGCATTCAATTGAACCACTAGTATATTATTGGTAGGTCATGCTTACGGCTAGAACCGACACTTCATCGGTGACTATAGAATGGGCCTTGTCTCTTTTGCTCAACCACCCCAGGTGCTAGAGAAAGCTCGAGCTAAATTGGATGCTCAAGTAGGGACTGATCAATTGGTCGACAAACATGATCTATCCAATCTTTCTTATCTTCATAACATTATTTTAGAAATACTTCAGTTGTACCCAGCAGCACCAATGCTAGTGCCACATGAGTTGTCCGATGACTATAAAATTAGGGGATACAATATCCTGCGATGCACAATTTTGCTAGTTAATGCATGGGCAGTTCACAGGGACCCAAACGTATGGGATGATCCAACAAGCTTCAAGCCAGAGAGATTCGAAAGCTTGCAGGTTTAGCCATCAAAGCTGATTCCATTTGGGATGGGAAGGAGATCTTGCCCTGGTTGTAGCCTAGTACAGCGGGTGGTGGGTTTGGCCTTGGGATCTCCAATTCAAAGTTTTGATTGGAAAAGAATTGGCGAGGAGGAAATTGATCTGGCTGAAGGGACAGGAGTGTCCATGCCAAAAGCCAAATCACTAGAAAAAACGTGTCTTAGAAATAAAATTTTGAAAAAGGGGTTTTAGGTGCCAGCACGTGATCTCGCGTGACTTAGTTCCGATTGAAATTGAAGAGATTCCGTCAATTGTACACTTTAACGTAAAATTGAATAGATTGGAGACCAAAATTGATTTTCGAAATAGATTGGGGATAATTCCGCGCATACACTATAAATTAGGGACCAAAATTACAATTCTCCCATTAATTAATTGCATTTATTTTGAGAGTGACTATTATATGCCACGTTTGGGGCTACGTTAAAATTAAGGAATTAAAAGCAACAAAGCATTGCATGACATTATGGTGAATCCAAACGGAAGGCATGAGTCAATTTTTGAAAAAATAATTAAAATTCTAGAAAAACAGGATGAGTAGTTGAAGGCTCAATATGTTTTGAGCCTTCAATAACGTAGGATTGAAGGGTGGAATTTAAGAAGCAAAGAGGGTTTTGAGCCTAAAACATCTCTAATTATTGAAATCTCAGCCTTAACCATTAGACTTTTTTCTCCGTGTTGTATCACAACGTGGTTGCATTTGCACCTGGACTGCCACTCAAAACTCATTTGTTGGTCTGGTCCGGGGATTGGCTTTCAATAATGTTGTGGTATACTAGCTATGGATAGCAGGGAATTTGGCTATGTTTCAGCAGAGACATATCTCGGCTGTGGACATAGTTTCTGCTGTCTTGGCTTCTGGAAAGGATGTGATGGCAGGTTAGAGGAAGATCCCTTTAACTACAACCAACTGGGAATTGGCTTTGGAGCTTGGCTTTGGACCTGTTCCCCTTCCCCCCATAGCTGCCATGTAACGTCCAAAAAAAAAATCTTTCTTCATCCAATTGCGGATGAGGTTAGGCGAGTACAACGGTAGTCTCCCGCAAAATTAAAAACAGAAAAATAATACCATGCCGTTCACGTTTTCATGTACGGATGTTTGGATTTTCTAGATGCTGAACATCCACTTGAGATAAACTCATCTATAAAATGGTCAGTCATTGTGCAAGTGAACTCACCAAAGCGAAGCTGCAAAAATCACTGAAAAGAAAGAAAAGAAAATGGCTGCCTCTTTGCAACCACTGTTCTCAGCAATAACATTCCTGTTGTTGATTGCTTCTCTGATTGGGTCCTCCGAAGCTGCCGGAATTGTCCGATACTGGGGCCGAGGCCATACAGAACCAAAAAGTGTGAGTGAGTTCTGCAGGCGAGAATTCGCTACCGACGTTAATGTTGCCTTTCTGGAAGATTTCGGCAGTGGCCAGATGCCTCAATTGAGCATAATTCATCCTCGGCCGAGCGCAGCAGACATAGAATCTTGCCAGAAACATCAGACAAAAGTCTTTATTTCTCTCGCAGGACCTCCGAGGCTTTCTTCCGTCGAAGATGCAGAAGAAATGGCAACCTATATCTGGAACACTTACTTAGGCGATCAGTCAAGCGACCGTTCATTCGGCAAAGCTGTTTTAGATGGCGTAGAGCTTCACATCCACAGTGGAAACACGAATTACTTGGATGATCTTGCTCGGGCACTTAAGGGATACCCAAATGTGATCTTAGCTGTAGCGGCGGATTGTCCTATTCCTGACCCTGCTCTTGATGCAACTATCAAAACTGGACTCTGATGCGACAGCCAAAAACGCAGTCCGAGCTGAGCTGCTTTGAACCAAGCAGGGTAGCAACAGCCGACCTGAGAGACGGAACCGAGCTGTTAGCCCTGCAAAAGAAGAACGAAGGCGGGACTGATGTCTCCGGAGTAGCTCCGACGGTCAAGTCAGTAGAGGTTATGATCAGAGTGACAGTCTAGAATGCTTGTGTATGCGTACTTTGTGTAGTCTTGTAGCGTCGTATATATAGGACTGAATAGGTTGTAGTTTCCTTATGGGAGTCAAAATCCCCTTAGAGTTCGGAGTCTTCTTAGGGTTTCGCGTGACGGCGCCTAAAAGTTCGGAGGTGGCGGCCCACAAGGCCCACCACAGGGAGCAACTGACAAAGCCGAGCTTGCTCCCTCATGCCGAGTTGGTACGTGCGAGCTGCGGGGTCTCTATAACCGAACTGACTTGTGTAGTCAGCCGAGTTTGACATGTGTCACGCGTGGATTCGCCCCAGCACACTAGCCCCCCTTGAGCCTAGAGTCACCGAGGAGTCGCGTGAGTCTGGACCAAATTACGAAGCGTCAGGTCGGCCTGGTGTGGGACCCATGATTCCACGATTGCGCACCTTGTTCGGATAACCGCCACGTATACTGTCATAACCGTCATCTCAAGGGTCACGTCCTCCCATGATGGCGGTTGTCAGCTCAAACGTTTTCCAAGATAACCGTCCTTTTGCAATAAATTCGAATTTCCAACTCGGGGCTCTTCAGCTTCCCGCCCAGGAGGCCTATAAATAGGTCCTACCAAACGTCACTTTCAAGCCTTCATTCTCATTCTCTCCTCTCTCAAATCTTCTTCAGCTCGCTCATCGCCTAGTGAGTCCAACCGAGAGTTGCGTTAATCTCCTACCAGCTCTTCCCTCTTATCCGCTAGTAAGTCTTCTTTCCCTTTTATGTTTTCATCTTCCACACACTCAGACCATACTAGCTCGGCACCTAGGCGTAGAGTAGCCCGACCTGCACTCATAGAAATACTTTCTTCCAACTCTTCTTCTTCCAGTTCGTCCGGGTCTGAGTATCTTCCTTCTCCAGTCCCTTCTCCAATTTTAGTCATGGACCAGCCTGGTCAATCTGCCCAGCCTGAGACTGGAGCTGCTGGCCCAGGGATTCCCCTGGAGGCAGACCCAGCTCGCGCCAGGGCTGGGCCCGCTAGGGGGCCTGACATCGACTTTGGGGAAGTCGAAATTATCCCCCTCATCCTTGACCAGGGGGATGTGGATGAACTGGTGGGAAGGTATGATATTCCTCCCCAGTTCGAGGCTAGGGCAGCCCGGCCAGGGGAGTACGCTTGCCGACCTCCCTCTGAGTTCGTGGCTATCTACAAGGATCAGCTCGTAGCCGGTCTCCGCCTTCCCATCCCCCAGTTTCTTTATGACATTCTGACCTTCCGAGGTATCCGAATTACCCAACTCGTTCCCAATGCCATTCGGTCAATTCTCGGCTTCTTCATTTTGTGACGTGCTCTCGAAATTCCTTATTCTTTAGACCTGTTTAGGTCCTTTTTCCAAATGAAGGTGAGTAGCCCAGTTCAAGGCTGGTTCTACTTCGCTCGTAGAAGGGGAGGGAAGCTCCCCACTCGCGAGCTGTTTACGCAAATGCCTTCCTTTATCAAACGCTGGAAGGCACAATTCTTTTTTGTGAAGAACACTGGGTTCCCCCCTGACCTGGAGGGAGGAGACCCAGGTTTCTGATCCAATTCCCTCACCTCTGCCTGAAGCCGAGCTAAACCGCCTGGTCAACTCGGATGCTCGGCTGAAGGTTAAAGAGTTTAACAATGCACAGCTCTGGTTGGCGGGGCTGATTCGAGCAGAGGTGAATGACCATGCCCCCGATCTCTGACCTCTCACCCCCGAGAAGCTGACAGCTTGTAACTTCTTGGCCTCATTTCCTCTTTTTCCCTTTTTATGAGCCTGGTCATATCACCCAAACTGACCCATTCTTCTTGTTCTGTAGTGAAACGATTCTCCCAGCTGCTGAACATTGGGGGACCAGGCGGCACAAGCACGCCTATCCCTGCTCCTTCCACTGCACCTAGCAGCACGGCTCCCCTCCCTCCACCAGTGTCTACTCCTCAGACTGCTGCTCAATCATCACCAGGGGAGGAGCCAAAGAAGAAAAGGAAGAAGTCGGCCGCCAAGAGGGCCAGGACCGAGGCTACTTCCCCCCAATCCCAGGAGGAGCCCTCCACTGCTCTTGCCCCTCACTACAGGGTGAATATTGCGGAGCAGCAGGCCTCGTCCGAGTCGCCTCCAGCCATGTGGCGTATGAGGAATGTGATTCCTATGAAGCCTTCCTCTGACCTGAAAACTCATCCGCACCCTCTCCACTTCTGCCCCAAGTGGGGGTTGTCGGTGAACGACCGAGCTCAATTCCCAGAGTCAGGTCGGGAGCTCATCAGGGGTACCGTGCTCCCCCGCGATCACCGCTTCATCCAGCTCGCATCCAACCCTGAGCTACTGGAGCACTATTACCTGAGTGCAGCCCAGGTACCTCCTCTACTTGTAATTCACAGACATTCTCTTTCCTTATCAGCTTCTTACTTTGTGTTTGTCTTGCAGCTCAATGTGGCTGGTGCCGAGCTGGCACAGAAATACGAGAATATGGGAGAGAATCTCTCCCAAGCTAATGCTGCCAAAAACAGGCTGTCCAGCCAACTTGAGGCGACCGAGGCAGAGCTGGAGTCCGTGAAGAAACAACTGACCGAGTCCCAGGCCGCCAACGAGCTAGGGAAGAAAAAGGCCACCGAGCTGACCCAACAGTTGGAGGCCGAGCAGAAGAAGGCTGCCGAGCTGCTGGGACAGATCGAAACAACTCGGCAGGAGGGTCGCCAGCTTGGCGTCAAGGATTTCAAGAAGTCTGAGGAATTCATGAAGGACCTGGCGATCCTCAACGGGCCCATCCTCCAGATCGGGTATGCCTGGACTATGCACAACGTCCAATCCCTAAACCTGCCTGGGTTCGACCTGGGCAGGTGGCCTGAGTATAACCCCGAGGCGGTCAACCAGATCGACAGACTCGTGGAGGGTTATGCCCACGGACGCGACCTGGCCGCGCTGATTGCTGACCCCAACCTGCCTACGACCTCCCCCGGGCAGGAGGAGGAGCAGCAAGGAGAAAGTTAGATAGGGCTTAGTCTAGGCATGGGCAATAGTTAGGGTAGGAATCGAGCTGACCAGCTCGCTTTTGTATGGTCCCCCTTATGTACATGCCCCTCCTTTTGAAATGAAAGATGTCTTTTCATTCAATACTTAGCAAAATTCCTTTTATTTTCTCTTATAACCTCGAATACATTCAAGTGAGTACCGAGCTAGTAGCTACCGAGCTAACCTCTTCAGCTATTTTCTAAAAGTCTGGACCTGCCTTGTCACGCTGAACCGAACTCTGACGAAAAAGCCTTAGGTTCGAATTGTGCCAGGTGCGCGAGACTTCGTCTCCGTTGAGATGAGCCAGTTTACAGTACCCAACCCGATCAGCTTCTCTCACCACGTAGGGACCCTTCCAACTTGGATCCAACTTGCTCGTGCCCGCAGCTCGGCTCACAGAGTTTTTGCGCAACACCAAGTCCCCCGGCTTGAAGGAGAGGTGCCTCATTCGGGCATTGTAGTATCGTGCGACCTGACCCTTATACTTTGCCATTCTTATAGTTGCTTCCTCCCTTCGATGCTCAAGCAGGTCCAAGTTGAATCGCATCTCCTCCTCGTTGTCCCAGGGCACAAAGTGTTGCACCCTACTCGAGGGTACTCCAATTTCTGCTGGGATCACTGCTTCGACTTCGACCCCATAGGCCAGGGCAAATGGAATCTCTTGGGTGGCCGTCCGAAGCGTCGTCCGGTAGGCCCACAGTATGGTTGGCAGCTCGCCCAACCAACCAGTTCGGGCAGAACCTATTCTTGTCTTCAGGCCGTGTAGGATGGTTCTGTTGACATTCTCGACCTGCCCATTGAATTGGGGGTGCCCTACTGAAGTGAAGCGCTGCTGAATGCCGAACTCGGTGCACCACTCCTGGAGAGAGTGGTCCGCAAACTGTCTGCCGTTGTCCGATACGAGAGCCCTTGGTATGCCAAATCGGCA